TTAAAAAAATATATATTTTATTGATTTTTTTTACAGAGAGGAAGGGAGAGGGATAGTCAGAAACATCGATGAGAGAGAAACATCTGTCAGCTGCCTCCTGCACAACCCCTACTGGGGATGTGCCCACAACCAAAGTACATGCCCTTGACCAGAATCGAACCTGGGACCCTTCAGTCCACAGGCTGACGCTCCACTGAGCCAAACCGGTTAGGCGCCGTGGTCGGCAAACCACGGCTCGCGAGCCACATGTGGCTCTTTGGCCCCTTGAGTGTGGCTCTTCCACAAAATACCACGTGCGGGTGCATACGTACAGTGAGATTGAAACTTCATGGCCCATGTGCAGAAGTTGGTATTTTGTGGAAGAGCCACACTCAAGGGGCCAAAGAGCCGCCTGTGGCTCGCAAGCCGCAGTTTGCTGACCACTGGGTTAGGGCAAGATGTGGTACTCTTGCCACTCTGTACACTGTAGTCTGGCAAGTTCTTTCAAACAGAAAACTAGGGTGGTCACAGGGCTCACCTTATTTGTTTTCCTTCTTAAAAATCCTTTTCAGGGATCACAATCCTGCACTGAATGTTATCCATTGTCTAAAACCAGTTGTTTCATGTAACTTATCCAGATTTCTACTTTTGTATGGTAAAAGGGAGAGTTCTATACACTATTATAAGTCAAAGTATGAATTTTAAATCCAGGATTTCTTTTTTCGTTTCAACCACTTAAGTTTTTAATTTCCAAATATAAAAATAAAATGAAGTCAGCTTTGGGCTAGAATTAATAATTTGGGTTCAGGTTTCGCGCCTACTTCTAACTTGCTGCATGAATATTGGTAAATCCCATTTCTTCTTTGACTTTTATAGCCAAATTAAATTGAATATAACCCTATTCTCACTAGTTCTCAGGCATTCCATAGCAAGCAAATAGAAATAAAAAACCACACTAAATAAGGATGAGGTTATAAAAGCTGACACTTCCAAAACCTCTTTGGTCCATCTTCCAATTCATACTTTTTTGTAAAGTATAAAGGGGCCTGAAATGAAAGTATGGTAAGACTGATGTTGTTTCATTGCCTTTACTCCTACTGAGTGCCAGGAACTGTGTAAGACTTACATGAATTAACTCACCAAATCCTCCTCACTGTCCATTGGGATAGGTAATGTTATTTGACCCCATTTCTCACATGAAAATGAGACACAGAGATTAAGCAACTTGCAGAGGGTCATATAGCTAAGTGGCAGAGGCAGAATTGGAATTGATTTGAACCCAAGCTGTGTGACTCAGGAGCCACGCTCTTAACCACCGTGTGACTATTTGAAAACTTGAAATGCATCAATTGCTGCTGATGGAGAATCATTGTTTGTAACTGTTAAATTCATCCTCGGAATCCCTTCAACAAACCCTTTTTGTTTAGTCAGCCTGATTTCCATGAGGAAGCAGAAAGATTGGGCTATAGTTGGAATATGTGATTCCTGAGAAAAACACACCATCAGTATTGCAGGAAATGATGGAAGATGATATACAGCAAAAACTACCTGGGAAATAGGATCTGAGGGGAGTCACTGGCATTTACTGAATTTCTCCTGACTGGCAACTGTTTTGATATTAATAATTTCTATTCTTTTTCTCCTAATTTTCAGACACATTTAATCAAGTCAAGCACCAAAATGCTACCACTCTTGCCTAGAGAGAGAAAGGCTACTCAAAGAACTCCACCTGCAGGCGTTCGGCAGACCAGCATTGCTTCCTTCTTCATGTTGCAGTCGGGTATGGTGACCTGCCTGGGCGCACCCAGGGAGCAAAAAGGGGTGCATTCATTTTTTCATGCTGGAACATTTATAAGTGACACCAGTGCATAGCTCACCTATTAGAAGAGGTTATAAAACAAAATCATCGCCTTCTGAAAAGCAATATATACATGCTTTTTACAAACATATTTTTCTGGTTCTGTTTTGCTCAGTCTAATATTAAGTATTTGTATTCCCTGTCAGAGCAGTGAGGACAGGTATACTTGGGAGTTGAGGGTATATAGGGGAGCTGACCTTTAGTTAGGGGTATGTCTTGGATTGGCCACAAGTAGTCTGCATGATTAATTGATAATTGATATTTTTGTATAAAGCGTCTCAAATTAGCCAAGGTGCAACAAGTTTTTTTCTTAGAAAAGTTTGCATAAAGTTGGCTTGTGTCTCAACATCCTTTGACGGTTCTTTGCCTGCATGTCCCACTTCAGGGGACCAGCTGACTCAGAGCAGGCTGGGACTTACCGAGCAAGGTTCCTGCCAGGTGAAAGGAGAGCTCTAACTCTTGGTGCGGTACCCAGGATTGCTTTGCATAAATCTTCAAAATGTACTCTCCGTACCCCAAACAAAAACTTAAGCTCTTTTGCTTTAACAAGGACAGGCTCCCCACCCCCCTTTTTTTTTCTTTCCCCCAAAACACTTTCCATTTCAAATTGTAAAATTCTGGTATATTCTGTTTATATAGAATTTTTAGGCAAAATAGACAAATCTTTCACAAAACAATTTCTGCAGTGTGATAAACTTCACATATGAAAACTCAGCTGGAAAAGTGGTCAGATTATGTAATGTTTGACTTTATTATGGAGCTCATGGGAAGCATCTATATATTTGAGTAGGGGGGATATATAAGCTTTGTGTTTTAGAAAGATCATTCAGGCAAGAATAGAGATTGAAAGCTGGAAGCTCAGCCACAAGGGATGTGAAGAGTCTAAGACCCCTGCACAAGGTAGTTATAATAGCTGATACTGATTTCAGAAAGAACCAGCTAAATCCTGCTCAGGGCAGAGTTTCCCTGCAGAATAATATGTGTTCATGTCTGTTTCACTAGGAAAGAAAAATGGTGATCAGAGGAGTGTTTCATCATATATAGAAAGTCAGACCAACAGAGAGTCTAAGAAAGATGCGACCCAGCCTGACCATCTGACCCAGGGCTTGGGCGATGATTTCATGGCACCCCCTTTAGCCTCTTCAACCCCTACAGACATCCAGGAAGCTGGACTTCCTCCTCAGTCCCTCCAGGCTTCTGGCCACCACAGACTGGGAACCCTATTCTTGACTGTGCTGTCTTCGTTCCAGCCTGAGACTAACTTAGTCTGTGCTGGAGAGAATCAAGACTCACTGGCTTGTTCCTTCACCCAGGACGTGGAGAGTTCTTGCTTGCTGGACCAAAAGGAGGGAGAGAAGGATTCTTCCTGGAAAAGGGAATGGCTTCATGGATCTAAGAAAAAGAATCGCCAGGGTATGGAGAGACGCAGTAAACCACCTGGGGGCAAGGGCCTACAGCCCTGGGACAAGCCTAAATTGGAAAAGAGGTCTGCCAAAGAAAACAGGCAGGCCCCTGTCCTCTTTCAAACTTACAGGGAGTCCTGGAGTGGAGAAAACACAGAGGCAGTGAAACAAAGGTCTTGTCCTGTTCCTGTGGTCTCCTGGGACAGTGAGAAGGATGACAGGGACTCCTGGAGTCAGCTTTTCACTGAGGATTCTCAGGGCCAGCGGGTCATTGCTCACAACTCCAGAGTTCCTTTCCGAGAGGTAACCAACAGTTGGAATCAGGGTTTAGGGCAGTTTCTTAGCAGCCCTGGGGCTCAGTGCCAGGATAGGCTTACTCAGTTAAACCTGCAGCCTGATTTGCTCTTTACCCAGGACTCTGAAGGTAACCAAGTTATCAGACACCAAGTCTAAATATCTTTGAGGGTTTGGTTTTAAAAATACTTGGGAGGTACGGAATGAAGCTATTGTTGTTGAACATTTTGTGTAAATAAAGCTGGTGGTGATACTTGTTGAGACAGTATGGTTGGCATCATGCCTTTCCCTGAAGAACAGGTAGCTAGTAAATTCCTTGTATGAATTCAGTGAGCACTGAGGAGGCAAGGGAGGTATTCATCTCTCCACTAAAGGACCTATTACTCAAGCAACTCTTAGATGCCTAACTGGGACATTGCTTCTTCTTTTTTTTAAAAATATATATTTTATTGATTTTTTTACAGAGAGGAAGAGAGAGGGATAGAGTTAGAAACATCAATGAGAGAGACACATTGATCAGCTGCTTCCTGCACACCTCCTACTGGAGATGTGCCCACAACCAAGGTACATGCACTTGACCGGAATCGAACCTGGGACCTTTCAGTCTGCAGGCCAACGCTCTATCCATTGAGCCAAACCGCTTAGGGCTGGGACATTGCTTCTTAGAGATGTGTATACTTTTAATCTCTGGTTGTAATCATACTTACTCAACCTAAGCTTGGGACCACTAAATCCTAACACTTTTGAGTGGTAAACAGGAGCAGGGGGATAGAGAGATAGGTAGAAGGTAGAATTGTAGCAGTATTATTTGTTGTTATTTTATTCTTGTGGTGACTTTACAGCATTTTAAAGTTATAGTCTCTGTTTAAATCTCTCTTCCTTAAAATTCCTGAGCTATATAGCAATCTAGATGTGACTGTAACACTCCTCTATTACAAAGTGGGTGAGAACTCCCTTTGTAAAACTGAGTCCAAATAAATGACTGTTTACCAAGCGGCTCTTGTAATTAAAACATTACCAGTTTTATTTTTGAAAAAGCAACCTTTTAAAAAAATACTATTTTTATTGATCTCAGAGAGGAAGGGAGAGAGAGATAGAAACATCAATGATGAGAGAGAATCATTGATTGGCTGCCTCCTACACACCCCCTACTGGGGATTGAGCCCGAAATATCAGCATGTGCCCTTGGCCAGAATCGAACCTGGGACCCTTCAGTCCACAGGCTAAAGCTCTATCCACTGAGCCAAACCAGTTAGGGCGAAAAGCAACTTTTTAATATTAGATGCTGTCACTGCAGTAGGTCCGATCTGAACAGGAGTCTAATTTGACCTTTGTTCTATCCAAGACTTTATCCATCAAGTAGCAGTTTTCTGTGATGCAGGTGTAGTACCTAAGAGGCTCCTAGGGGGCAAGCTTGCAAGTTGTAAGATGGAACAACTTTAAGAGCTTAGGACAAAAATCTCTCCTTTTTTTTTTTTTTTTAATAAAAAGCAGGACTTTAAAAGGAAAAGGGGTACGTCAGGAGCCTATTATGAAAGTTCATATACTACAAAATTAACAGGAATCCTATACCCATTGGGTACATCAGGTGATTGTAACTCAGAGATGGACACAGCAAATGCAGTATCTTGCCAAATCCTTTAATGTCAGGTAGTACTTCAACCCAAACACACACGGGATACATACTGCAGAAAAGGGACCTGAGGGCATCTGAGTCATGCATGGTGTGGATACAAACCTCCTTGGCCCAATGCAAAGAAGCAGTCAAGGGCCTCAAAGAAAGATGTTATTCTCTTTCCCCTCTCCATTTCTGTTTCCTACTGGGCTTGAACTAAAGTCCATGGAAGAGCAGGAGTTCAGTCAGTGGGGCCTTGGAGGGTATATTTGGTTGTACAGTATTACAAAATATATTTAAGAAAAAAACAGCCCAGGCCTCCCAGAAGCAGCCCAAATGTCAGCTGGTCCAGAGGGCCGACCTCTACATCTAGGTGGTGTTAGACATGGGAAGAGGGTGATTGCTGGACATTGGTGTTGGTTTGTGATGGTGCAGCATAAGATTTTTCCTGCCCTGTGAACATGTACATAAACACTGATAGCTCTCTCTGCTGCAAGAAAGCTGCTAAGAGTAAGTGACAGCTGGGCACAAAGTGTCCGGTAAGACCAGTTATAGGGTCTTATGCAGTGAAGTAAGTCATTCAGGACCTATTTTCACACAGGGGCAAGGAAAAACCAGAAACTTCTAGCTCAGCCTTTAGACCAAAACATTCCAATCTATACATTTACCTGTAACAAGTCTCTCAGCTCACAACAGGCCTTAGCTTCTGCTAAGGTTTGAAGATGGGAAACATATAATCCAGCTCTTTCAGTCCAAGCTCTAGCTTTCGGCAAGACTGTTGCAGAAAACTTCTGATGGAGAGACAGAAACATCTGCGGTGAGGAAGGCAGCTACTGAAGGAATTCCAGGAGCAGGAGACTGAGTGTGCAGAGCTGAGTGCTGTCAGTTTCCTTTTCTACTGAAATCTTCTTCCTTCAGAGCAAACTTCCTTCTTAGGACCTCAGAGATAAGGACAGCAGGGTCCTCCTCCTTCAGTAAACTCCGGTTCCTAGAGACATAATAATAGCTTAATAATAATTTAATAATTTGAGTACTTGCTCTGTCTTGGGCAGTGTTCCATGTCTTTGAATATGATCTCATTTAATTCTCAACAATCTTACGAGGTTAGGTGCTATTACAATCTCTTTTACAAATGAGGAAACTGAAGCACAGAAAGGTTATACAATTTCCCCAAAGCTACTAAGTCAGCCAGTGGTGAATCTAGAGTCCAAAAGCAAGCTAGCTGATTGTAAATTTCATTTCTTAACTAGAATGCTTTACTATTTCCTGAGATGGCTATAAAATGTGGACAAAGGACCATCAACTAGTTAGAATTGGCTGTGATGGCCAAGCTTCTGCTCCCACCTTTGGTGCTATATTTTCTTAGTAACATTTCCCCAGATCAGCAGATAAAGTGACATATCTCTTGTCCATTTTGTCTTTTATTAGTTCCAGGGAAATGGTGTTCAAAAAGTTTCCTACTATTCTGTCTCCCCATCAAGGGGTCTGTGAGCTTTTTAAAATGAGATCTAGAATTTATAGTAAAATGTTCACATAAGGGACCTGTGGGAACAAAGCCCACTCCAAATTGGCGTAGGTTCAAATTACCTGACACATCATAAAAGTATGTCCTAGATATCTGGAAAATAGTTGCTTGAAATCCTAACGGACTTATATCCATATACATACATCCTCATGAAGTTTTGCTAGATATAAGGGTCAAGATTGATTATTAAACCTTGAAAGCAAAAACAAGAGTAATTGCCTTCAGTCTGTCACATTTCTGCCCCTTTGTTAATGGGGCTACTTTCCCACTCTTTGCCATTAACCCATCTCCTCCAATGAACAAGGGACAAAAGATCCCAGGACACAAGTGGGAAGGAGGGGCTTGGGTCTCATATGGGGCAAGAAGCAAGTAAAAAAGTTTGAGAGTCAATGACCAGAAGAGAAGGACTCAGGGCAGCTCCATAGCAGCAGCTGAATTTGGGAATGCAGGAGACCGAAGAACTGTGGGTATGACCAAGACCAACCTGGCTAGGGCCAGAGAAGGAAGGTGAAAGTGACTTCCCTAAAGGATCCACTACCAGGAAACAATGAGGGAGTCACAGCCTTGTCTGGTTTTCAGACAGAAATGGCCAGACACACAAAGGGGTCCTTGCACAAGGTGAGTAACCTTCCCTTCAACAGGAACTTGGGAGAGAGCCCTCTTCTCTCACAAGAGCTTTTAATCTACATTAACAAATACAGCTGCACATCCTGGCCTTCGAAGTCTGGATGTCAAACTGAACTGTTTTAAAGCCCAGAAAGCTGCAAATAAGCTCCTTCGGTGTGTCCCATGCAGGTGCTCAGACCCCACTGAACACTGCAAGGTGGTCACCCCTCCAATATGAGCATTCTGATGGGCAGCCAGGTTTAGAAACTTCTCAAAAAATCCTTGTTCTCAAGTCTCTGAAATTGCAGGGTTAGTTTGCATAACACCACTCTTTCAAAGCAGAAACTCCCAACCTGATGAAATTCTTCCACCAAAAAAGTCTACCAATTTGAGATACTAAAGTAATTATTAGGCAACCCAACTTTGAAGGGTGGGACATGGGGACACTTATTAGCAGTATGGTAATGGTAAAGTCCCTGGGACAGAAGTGGGATTAGATGAACCCTGTAAAATTCCACTAGTCTAACATTTGGTTGGATTAGATCACCCCAACAAATGTAAAGTGTTACTCCTCAGACTGGGGCCCCAGGGATTAGCAGGCAGGTGGCAAGGTTTGTGAATGAAGTTAACACATGGCAACTACTGAGGACTTGCTATGTAAGTACCCTTTATTAGATCATTGGCCACAGGTAACTAAAATAGTAAATAGATCACCAGAGCTCATTATCAAATACTTACAGATCTTGACTCTGTTTCATCCGGTGAAAGTCCTTCAGGATCCCCATCATATCTGCAAAGCTGCTGGCCTTGGACAGAGAGACACAGTCATCCTCTTCAGATGAGCTGCAGGTAGCTTTGTGTTCTGGTTTGCAACATTCAGGGCTGGCAGAACAAAGCAGGGGGACTGATGGAAGCTCGGGGACCTCTACCTCGGTCTCCTCAGTGATGTCACTAATGACAAAGGAAGTTGTAGAGTGGAATGAGGATCCAAAACAAGGTAAGGGAGAAGAGACATTTGAACTTCCTGGAGATAAGAAATCTGGCGTTAATGAAGCCGAAGCTGAAAGAGAAAACAATAGGCATGGATGGACATTGGGGCTAGAGTACAGCAGTAATATCTTCTGCTCATAAGCACTGCCTACCATTCCTTCATTTCCTGGGCTGATATCCCAGAAGAGCCCAGGGTGGTTTCTGTAAGCCGGAGGAAGGTTCCTCCACTATGCTTCCCTCTCAGGATTTCAAGATGTAGAAGCAGGGCTCCTCCATGTTCCAGGAGAGCACAGCACCTCCCCCCTCACCCCATAAAGACCTTGGCTCCTAAAAGCTCCCATTCCGCCTTGAGCTCTGGAGTAACAGCCTGTTTAGACTGAAATAACGACAGGACCAAGGCCTGAATTTGTTTCTTTCTCTAACTGGGCTAGTGCTTTGACTACCCTCTTTAAATGCTGTCTGTGGCTGGAAGAAGCATTCTGTAGCAATAGAATGGTGACCCTCCTAGTTCCCCAAATTTTAACAAATTTCCTCAATTTTTAAGAAACACTCGTTTTTCATAAACTACTTTAGGTTATCTCTTAGCTGCCAATAAATGCAATTCCTCTATAAAAAAACAACAAACGATTTCAAAAAGAACACTAATTTTCATGTTCTACCACCTGGTAAGCTTTAGGAACTGACTGAGCTCAACTAGGAGGGGGGGGAAAAAAAAGGAATATGGGGATGAATAAACCCTGAGCTGCTTGGGAGAGACACCTATTGGTATTTCATGCCACCAGTAAAGGCAGACTCCCATCCTTTTCCATTGTTCTGTCTAAGCTGCAGACAGAAAAGTGGAGGGATGGAGAGGTGGTCTCTGGTAGACAGGACAAGGGAAGAGAAGACAGGTGCTCAAAGGGGATGCTTATTTCTTATATGGAAAAGGAAAGCTGCTGAGGGCTCATGGAAGACACGATCTTAGAGACACTTGGCAGAGGGTGTTGGTTTTGTGGCCACGGGAGAGAACCTGCTTGGGGTCACAGGCTAAGTGAAGATCTTGTTCCTGACCAAGCAAGTCAAGCTCAAAATAACTGCCAAAAACCATCCAAGAAGTACGATAGACTAACCAGGCCTCAGAGCAACCGAGTGCTGGGTCCAAGTCCACCTGAACCAGGGACCCTCATTTTCTTTACCACTATCCTGTCCAAGAGCCAGGGGAAAAGGAACAGCCTGCTATATTCTGGCCCTGACTCAGCCTCCCACCTGTATCCGCTGCCACTATCTTAGCAATCTGGCTGCGCAGGTGGCTCAGCTCATCCTGCAGCTCTGTGGTGCGGCTCAGGGCCGGCAGGGCTGGCTTCTTCAAGGCCAGGAGCCTCTCCTCGGACCCACGCAGGTTGGGCACTGAGGCATTGCGCTGCATGACAATCAGAGGGCTGGGCTTCCAAGTGTGCCTCAGGGGGCGTGTATCACTCCTGGACCAGGGAAAGATGGGTATATCAGAGTCAGCTGGCCACTAGCCCCTTCTAAAATTCCTTCACCCACCCCAGTGGTTCTCAACCTTCCTAACGCCGCGACCCTTTAATGCAGTTCCTCATGTTGTGGTGACCCCCAAACATAAAATTATTGTCGTTGCTACTTCATAACTGTAATTTTGCTACTGTTATGAATCGTCATGTAAATATCTGATATGCAGGATGTATTTTCATTGTTACAAATTGAACATAATTAAAGCATAGTGATTAATCACAAAAACAATATGTTTTCCGATGGTCTTAGGCGACCCCTGTGAAAGGGTCGCAACCCACAGGTTGAGAACCGCTGACCCACCCCTACAAGATTAACAGCCAGGTTCTGCTTCCATTCTGAGCCCAGAGATCTTATTCCTATTGCCCTCAGCCTCTCACAAGCCCTCCCCCTGCTGCCTGCCTCACCAGGGAAGGAGCTCCCCATTCCCCAACAGTCTGGCCATTGCCTCGCCTACCTGACCCGGGCGTATGTCTCCTCTTCATCTGCAGCAATCCAGGCGATATCAGCCAGAGTAGGGACTGGGGGCACATCCCTCAGACACAGATCAGAGACATTGGGCAGGGTCTATAGGGAAGCAAAATTCACCAAAAAACACATTATGATGAGATAATCAATCTGGGCAAAATACATAGGAGGGTACCTAGTTCAGCACTGGGGTGTCAGAAAGGCTTCTTGGACCTCATCCATGCCTACTGTTTTCTCTTTCAGAGGGTTCCAGGTTGGAAACAGCTTGAATAAGCAGCCAGAAGCGAGTTGTGGGATTACAAATAGTTTTGCATGGCTAAAACAGAGGATGGGGGTGAGGAGGTTGTAAGAGGTTGGACAAATTAGGAACTTTGATTCTAAGATCAATAGTAAGCCACTGGAAGTTTTAAGTAAGGATTCGATTTTAGGCTTTAGAAGATTACTCTGCTGCTGTGTGGAACACGGATGGGAGGGTGAACAAACCAGTTATGAGGCTGTTGTATCCAAGCAAAACAGGTGGCCTAGAGGAGGGATGGGCTCTGTTTTAATAAAGTTTTACTTGAAAAACAGTCTCACCAATTTCTGTGTGTGTGTGTGTTTAAGAATATGTTTTTGATTTTAGAGAGGAAGGGAGAGAGAGAAGCATTGATGAGAAACATTGATTGGCTACCTCCTGCATGCCTCCTACTGGGAATTGAGCCTGCAACCTGGGCATGTGCCCTGACCTGGGATCCAACCAGCGACCTCTTGGTGGTTGGGATGATGCTCAACCAACTGAGCACACCAGTCGGGACTCACTGATTTATGTATTGTCTGTGATGGCTTTTAAGTTTTAACTGCAAAAGTGAGTAGTTGTAACACTGTTATAGCCCACAGCCTAAATGTTTATAATCTTGTCTTTTACAGGAAAAGGGGTCTTCAGTGGAACAGGCCAGTTACCTTTTAACAGAAAGGGCTATTGCCTACCAGTGTCTTGCCCTCTGGTTGTGAGAATACAGGTACAAGGATATCAATAATCTCATGATTATTGATATCAACAGGAAGTTTTAACAGGAAGTTTCCTCTGGCTAGCTCTTGATCACACCTTTGTAGCTAATTGGGATTTACACTGTTATGGCAACACTGTTTTATTTATTTTTTAAGATTTAAAAAAAATATTTTTTTTATTCATTTTAGAGAGGAAGAGAGAGACAGCAACATCAATGATGAGAGGGAATCATCTCCTTGGCTGTCTCCTATACCCCCCCACTGGGGACCAAGCCCGCAACCCAGGCATATGCCTTTGACCGGAATCAAACCTGGGACCCTTGAGTCCACAAGCCAACATCCACTGAGCCAAACAGGCTAGGGTATGACATTGTTTTAAGCCAACTTGGTAATTTGAACATTTAGACTTGAATAAAAAGACACAATTATATAAAAGGAATATAGTAGGATTCCATAAAATAAACCCTCAATCCAAATGAACAACAACCGGGGAACTGAGTCTGAGTGACACTTGTTAAAATTAAATGAAAAAATTAGTATTCAATCGTGTTGAGTGTGAAAACAAAAAAACAAAGAAACATACATCTAGAAAAAGAACTATACCAAAACAATAGTTACTGTCATGACTATGTTATTAGAGGTAATTTATTTTCCTTTCTCCTTTTTCTTCTTAATCCTCACCCTAGGATATGTTTATTGATTTGAGAGAGAGAGAGATCAGTTGCCTCCTGTACGTGCCCCAACCCGGGATTGAACCTGCAAACCTTTTGGCATACTAGTTGATACTCCAACCGAGCCACCCTTTCTGGGCTCTTTTCTCTTTATTTTCCATAACTTAATGTTTTTATGTGGGTAAATTTTTAAAAAAATAAAGATTTCCTTATTATATTTTAGAGTAATTTACAACAGAAATTCAGGGGTAATTTCTCAAAAAGCCACCTATACATAAGTTAAATTCAGCTGTTCCTGCTACCAATTGTTTGGTAGGTGGATCAGGAATTGATGGCTCTCACTTTTAGATAGGGATCCTGGGTCTCACAGGAGTGAAGTGGTCTTCCACTGACTCAGGAGCTGCTGCTAAGGTGGGCCATTTAGGGAAGCTTTCCTTGATTAGAGCAGCGCTCTACTACTGGCAATTAAATGAGAACATAAAGTAGTGGGCACAATGCCTTAGCATACAGCATGTGTTCAGTAAAGGTTAGCTGGTATTACTGATACAAGCACACCTTGCTTTATTGAGCCTCACAGATACTGCATTTTTACAATTGAGGGAAAGACCATGAGTAAAAAAGATTACATACAACTTGCTTTATTGTGGTGGTCTGGAAGCAAACCTGAAAATACCTCTGAGGTATGCTTGTACTAGTTAACATACTCCCCCCACCTTGTGGAAAGCTGTGCCCTTGATTAGCTCTGTCAGGCAACATTTAGCCAAAGGACTGGGGAGATTATAACCAAGTGTTGGAGCATCCCCCACCAAGTCCCCCATACTCCCTAGCTGTGCTCCCCTTGTTTCTGATACTTGAGGCAGTTAGGGCCACATCCCACTCGTGCCCTTTAGGCAATTCTGGATAATCTGGGCTATGGGATGGTCCCCCTCCATCCGTAACACACTCCTAACCCCATTCCTGACTCTAATACCAATCCTGACACTACTTCTGACTCCAGATCCAGCTCCTACACAGACTTCACAGGTCAACATCTAATATGTAAATTCATCTCCTTCATTTCTGTAACCACTGGGCCCATGTATCCCATATGTCTTTTCAGGCTTATATTTCTGCCTCTTCTGTGTAGGCAGAAAGTTGAAGTTATTCTTTTGTGGCCCAGCTCCCCAGATACACCTTAAGCAAGTAGCCTGAAGCTGGTGCTTAACCATTAGTTCTTAGGGAGGCAGCTGGGACTAATAAATGCTACTTGGTTTTCCATTGCAGAAGGGGGTTTCAGCGACATTGGCCACGCAAGAATCTGTACTGCAGAGTGGGTGCTAGAGGGAGGCCCATAGACCCAGAGGTAAGATTGAAGTAGCCTAGTAAAGGAGAGGCCAGACTTGCCCAGAAAGAAGAGGCTGGGCCTCAGTGAAACTAGAAATAGATGGCTAAGTGGCCAAGTCTCAGGGCTAGTAAAGAAAAGCAGAGTTCAACGCAGTCACAACACAGTACTCAGTGTCCCACGTGGGGATCTGCCAGGGTTGTAGGCAAACACCTCAGAGCACAGACCTGGCTAGTGTGGCGATGTGGTTCAGCCAGGGCCTTTGGCCTGTTCTGAGAAACGACTCTAGAGTCTGATGAAATCTGAGCCACTTAACAGAGTGATCAAACATATAAGATTATGAATTTATGAGCAAATTGGGAACCTGACTGTTGTGGCCAAAGGTTTGTGTGCAATCAGGAAGGCACAATGATCAGGATCCATTAATAAACATATACAAAATGAAAACAACAACAAAAAAACCCCAGGAGACTGGGGCACAGAGCAGCACCATCCTTCCATACTCTCTAAGCCTCTAGTCTCCGGCCCTTCCAGTGTACTCACCTCAAAGGACGCCCGGGGACATGGCTTCAGGGGCAGGTTGGTCCCAATTCTTCTCACTACACTGCGAGCAGCCCCATGCGGTTTATTTTGCCAGATCGGGATGGTCTAGAGCAGAGAGGGACAGTCACAACCTCAGAGATGAGTTCAAGCATCGTTCCCATCCTCTCCCCCACTCCCCTTTACCAGGGAGCCTGGACTCCTCAATCCCAGGGAGAGGGCACCCTGTGGGCAGAAGTCAAGTCTCAACTGTAAGTGAGGGCAGGATTCCCCGTTGTTAGCCTTCACCTTGGCAAGCCACCTAAGGGATACCTGCTGCTGCCAAGGCACAGTCCCTGCTGGGAGGGTCCAGTAAAGGCCTGAGGAATTAGCTGGGTGTAGGATCATCCAGGCTTCCCTCCTTTCCTCTGTACAGAAAGGCAGAGATACATGGACCCTTTAACTGCCCCCAGGTCACAGCTGGTTCTGCCAAGTGGGGGAGTGGGTGGGAGGGTGGCCTCCTTCCAGCTCCAGGCCTCCAGGGGAAAGCAATCACCTGGGGAGTCTCCACCTCCCAACAGGCCCCGTGCTCCGCCTTCCCCACACACCACAGCCCCGGGCTGCCCCTTACCGCATTGGCTTCCATTCCCGACATTTCAACCGGCTCCTGCACTTGAAGGACAGGGCAGCTTGGGGAGGCGTGATTCCTTCATATCAGGCCATCTTGCGGAACAGAGTTCCCCTCCTGTGAAACAACCCTCAGTGGGGACGTGATGGCCCCCACACAAGCCCCACAGAACCTGCAGAGCAATGACTAACACCAAGGCTTCTCTTACATTTCATGGGGGAGAAAACCAGCTCAAGAGACTGCCCTCGCCCACTAATGGCTCTTCCAAATCCAGACCCAAGGTTCTGTTTCAGACTTGTTGCATGAGCTTGAACAACCCTGGAAGCCCTCCTGGGCCCTTGGTTTCCTGAGGCAAAACTTCTAAAGATGAAATAGAACCCTTTGGTAGTTAAAAAGTTCATGGGAAAGGCAAACTGTAGGTAGCACCCAAGCCCCACACTCCTTGTTGAAGATGAGATGCAAAAGCCCAGCATGTGTCACCCCCCTAGCACTGCGGGGCCCCGCAGGGAGAGAGGTAAAATAGACAACAGAATGAACAGCATGCTCTAGCCCCGTGGTCGGCAAATGGCGGCTCGCGAGCCACATGCGGCTCTTTGGCCCCTTGAGTGTGGCTCTTCCACAAAATACCGACTTCTGCGCATGGGCCACAAAGTTTCAATCGCACTGTACATGTGCACCCGCACGTGGTATTTTGTGGAAGAGCCACACTCAAGGGGCCAAAGAGCCGCATGTGGCTCGCGAGCCGCCGTTTGCTGACCACGGCTCTAGCCTATCAGTCTACTAGGCTACAGGGAAAAGAGCCAAATTCTTTATCCTGGCTCAGCCGTCATAGGCAAGTCATTTAACCTTTCCAAATGTTGGTTTCTCCACCTGTAAAAAGGGGACAAGAACAGGTGTCACTCTAGCCTGCTAAGGATGCATCAGTGAACTAGGGAATTTTACAGGGCTTAAATGAACCCTTAAAATGTGACAGATGGGTGGGTCACTCCTGCCTGGATTCGTCACAGCTGCCCTTGTGTGGTGGGCAGAGGCAATCAGTGAGCTCTCATTCCCTGGTTCATCAAACACTAACGATGTCCACCTTGTGTTGGACACTGGAGGGGCTATGGAGGAGTCAGACAGCCACTCTCTCAAGGAACCACAATCTAGGACAGAGGCAGCACGTGGACACGCAGTTCTGGCCGTGGGTGACGATCAGTCGCTGCGGGAGAAAGGCACAGAGGCCGGTGGCCAGTGAACTCAGTCCTGACCTCAAGGTCCCCTGTGAGCTCGGAGGGGGAAGAAGGTACAACCAGCAGCAGCAGCACAGACCCAGGACAGGAAGGTGAGGTCCGAGAGGAGCGCAGTAGCATCAGGTAAAGATGCACGGGGTCACTGAGAGGGCCAGGAACGGCCAGGTGAGAGTAACGGGGGGCCAGGGGGGGGCTCTGAACGGGAGGGACTGGACCCCACGCAGCTCTTCTGGAAACCTCCCTCGTGAGTCTCTCCTCCCTGAAAGGAGTTATCCCTCACTTTATGGAGAAAGAAAGCTGGGAAGAAGGAATTCTCCTTCACGCGGGGAAAGGACGCAGGGACGAAGGAGCTTGTCTAAGGCCACTCTGCCAGGAGAAGCCACCTCAGGTCTGGCCCCAGCCCTGCTGCCCTGCGGGGGTGCCAGGCTGTGCGGACGGCAGCGCTGACAGGGCACACGCCTGCTTCCCTGCTCCTCTCCGAACCGACCCTCCGGAGACTCAGGGGCCCAAGTCTGCACAACAGCCAGAGACGCTCCGGGACACACTGCTAGTCACATCGGTCCTTCACCTAAAACCCCGGCAGACTGACTCCTGCAGGCCTCCCAGCCCAGCAGACCAACACCACAGCCCGAGGCCTCCCACCTGGCCCCGCACACGCCCGCCTGGTGCTCGCCCTCCGGCCACCCCGCCTCCTTTCGGCCCCCGACGCCACCTGAGCCGTGTCCACGCCATCCCCTTTCCAAAGCTCTTCTCCATGACTCCTCCGAGCTCAGCTCCAGCATCACTGCCCTTTACTGCTCCCCCCGGCACCCCGTTTCCTCCCTAATGAACTGTGACGGCCACTTGTCCCGCGGGCAGGCCGTCCCCGGCACCGCACACACGTAAGCATTCGTCCGATTAAGAAATGAATGAACGAGAGCACCGACCTGGCCGCCACACCCGCCCCCACCGTCCCCGGGTCGCCGGCTACCGGAACCCTGCCCCCGTCCACCGGCAACGAGGGCTGGTTCTTACCGCCTCTGCGCCCCGCAGCCCCTCTCGAGGCCGGGGTCGTGTCTACACACGGTCTCCCGGGAGCCGGGCCGGGCCCGGTCTCATCACTCCTGGGTCCCGGGCGCCCCACGGGGGCCGCCGCGCTCGGCGGAACTTTGCTGGGCGGACAGCGGCGCCGGGGGCCGCCGGGGGACCTTGCCCGGCCACGCCTCCCCTCCCCGCCACGGCCGACCCGACAGGGCCAAGGTCGGCCAAGTTCCCGCGGCCCGCCCGGCGGTCCCGGACCCACAGGCCGGGCCAGGCCCAGAAGGAGCGAGGAGGCAGCGGCGGCCCGGCCCGCAAGGACCGCGGTCGAAGCGAGAAGCCTCCGGGGTCGCTCGGCCACCGAAGCTGGGGACGCGGACGAGCCGCTACCCCGTGGGGACTCCGTTTCCCCCTCGCCAAATGCGGCCGACAACACCGGCTCCCGCGAGAGCCGGCGCGGGAGCAGCAGCTGCGAAGCCCGCACGGCGCCCGCACTAGGCCGCGCTCCCTCCTCCCGGGCTGCACTCGGACCTGGTCTCTCACCTAAGACTCCGGCTCCCGGACTCCCTCACCTCACAGCCCCTCCTACCACGGCCGGCCGCCCGGCCTCCACGGCGCTCACTTCCGCTGCCCGCCCCCGGAAGCGGTCCTCCGCACCTGCGCACCGAGCCGTAACCGCCCCCCCCCCGCCCGGATAGCGGCCCCGCGGGAGGCGGGGCTAGCGCGGCTCCTGCGTGGGCGGGGCGGAGGGCGGCCGCACGTGCGGACTCTAGGGGAGGACACGCCCCCCCAGACCACGCCCCCTGTCGGAGCCCGAGGTGTCAGAGGCCTGATTGGTCGCCAAGCCTTCAGGTCTCCGTCTCCTGTCGGCTCTTAGGGGCGGTCCGGCCTCGGGAATCCGAGGTCTGTCGCTGCTGGGCCCCCAGTTCGGTGGTGTCTACTGTCCTCACCCCGGCAGCAAATTGAGAGCCCCTGCGTTCCAGGCCCTTTGCCTTGCACATCGCCCTGGTCCCCTTCACAGCTCATACTTCCCCCAAGACCCCTACAGCCTTCTCTCTGCAAGAATGGGCTTCTCTGACTCCTGCCCTCCAGCGCTTTGTAGCTTTCTCCTGTTTTAGCCTTTATGTATTTTACACACACACACACACACACACACTCAAGCTATTTTCAGGGACTTGGTTATCACATGGGCAGGGTAGATCCCAGAGGCACTGGGAAAGAGAACCACCCCTATTCCCACATTCCTTCCATGCCCACTCACCGGGATTCTGATCTCCATGGCATCCAGGCCTGGGTCACATGCCCTCCTCTGACCTCAACACGTGGCTGTGCCTGACACCAGGTTGCAGTTTTTGGGTCTCAAATCCCTCAAGTCCCAGCTGCCAGGCACAGGCCAGTCACACACGGCCTCGGGTAAGGAGTCCACACTTGCTTTAATGTTCTGCTGTTGCCCTCCTGAAATTTATGGTTGTTGTTTATTTAAAACAAGCATTTTCATTTTGCACTGGATCCTGCAAATTATGTGAGGTGGCCTTGGCCAGAGACCTCAGAGGTTGTCCCTGAGCCCTTACCATATTTCAAATGATGTTGACTTCTAGGTCCAGCCCTTTTTCCAGGATCGCAAACTGTTGCTTAATCACTGATTTCACTCTCCAGGGCAATGGCAGATCTTGCAAATCCACCCACCCTAGCTGTCTTTCCCAGATGTGGCAGATGCTGTCTTGGTGCCCCGCTCAGGTTCGCTCTACTCTGCCAGTGAATCCATTCTCCAGCTGCTGTGTCAGCTACTCAGCTGCCCCCTTTTCTGGAAAATTGCCCTTGCAGGAGGGAGAATGGAGGCCCCATCCTGGGAAGTTACTCCACCCCCCACCCTCCCAGCCAATGACTGACCGACATAGGTTACAAAAAGCTGGTTCAGTTCTGTGGTGTGGTTTATGCTCCAGAGCCTTCCCCTGTGAGCAGGCCAAGGCCAGGCTTCGACTCTATCCCTGCCCAGCGTTTGTCCTTTCCCCCTTCTGTTTCACTTTTTTTTAATAGTTTTTTTTCTGAAGTGCACTCCCTCAAAAAATAAATTACCTAGTGCCTGTCTTGAGCTGTGCTTTTAAGACAATGGGTTTAACTTTATAAACACAGCATCAGATTCTAAATATAGTAAGTTCCACTGGAGGTCCATCACAATATTATTTTCACAAAGTCACTCAAGCCCATGGTGACAGGTAAGATAGATCCAAAGGCATTCCAGCAGCGTTCCCTACCCTGCTGGCCAGCCAATCCCACAAGGCATACCAAGGACAAAACGGAACTGTTAACATTCCACTCAAAGGAGAGGCACTTCAAACCACCCTCGTATCTCCAATTTTATTACAGGACATGTTGGGGACAGGGAGGAAAGTGGCAGAGGTATGGCAAGAGGGCAGCTGGGGGCCCTCCCCCGCTATGAGCTTCGAGGCACATGGGGGTCAGGCAGAAGCATCTGAGGAGGGTGCCGAAAGCCCGAACAATCAGTACCTTACTGCCTCCCGTGCTTGGAAGCACTGGGAAAGGTTTCGGGTCGTCCCTCCCTGTGAAGGGCTTGGAAGAGTGCCTCCCAGAGGACATGAACTTGGCTGAGCTCGCTAACGCATGCCTCATTTGGTCTAGAGATCAGAAGGGAATGAGACGTTTTGTTTTGAAAGGCTTTCTTTTTCACCTCGGTGAAAACAGGCAGGGGCGTGGTAAGGGTGCAAAACACCCTTCAATCAAGACTCAGGCTGAATCTCAACTCCGCCACTGAGCGACTCTGGGCAAGTCAGTCTGTTTTCCTGAGACTCGGTTTCTTCATCTGCAAAACGGGAACAATTGATATCCACCTCACAGGCTTGCTGTGAGGATTCCATGAGAAAAGACATGTAATCTTAACAAAGTGCCTCAGCTAGAGAAGGCCTGGGGCTGTGTCTGGGGAAGCGCCTGCCTGCCTTCCTCTTCCTGGTTTAGGGTGGGGAGCAGGCTTGGCTGCAAGGCCTTAGTGAAAGGCCTGGGCCCTCATGGGCTGAGTGGAGAGCAAGGGTGCAAATCCACTCTAGCTGTCTTTCCTGGATGTGGTAGGTGCTGTCTTGGTGCCCCACCAGGGGCAGTCAGACCCTCTGACTGTTTTTAAAAAACTAGAAGAGAAGGGAAAGAGGACTGTTTCTTCCCACCGGGGCAACTGCAGGGACATCAAGCTGGGCCCTTCTAGGATTTCAGACCCAGCCATCATGCGCAGCTGCTGAGGAAGCCTTGCCCCTTCCTTCTCCTTAGCGCGGGGTTATAAAAAATACCTACAAATGGTGAGAAAGTTCATGTAAAAACACTTTCCTGCGTGTATAAAAGAGAGACTGGCCGTGGTCAGTGGCTTGGGATGCGAACTGAGGCCCCAAGCTTGGCCAAGGAGTGTCAACACCCGTCCAAGGGCGGACAAGCTGGTCTGGGCTGCCCTGACAGCCGGACAGCCGGCTGCTCCTTGGCTGGGCTACACCCCGTGGAACTGAGGTCTCAGGGGCAGAAAGCAACACCAGGGCTCTGGTTCCAACAGTGCTCCTGCAACCCTGTGCTAAGGTGGGCGGGGTGGTGCCTTGGGTCTGGGCCTCAGGGGCCCCCTTCCTAAGGGCAGCTGGCCTCCAGCAAGTCCCCAAACAGGTTTGGGGTCCTCTCATTAAGTCGAATAGACTACACTGGTCTGGCGAGCCAAGGCCTGGGGTGCTGTATGGTTTCTGCTTCTGAAGGAGGGTTCTGCCCAGAGCCTCCAGATGGCTGTCTCTTGGGAGCCTGACCCCCTGGGGAGCGGGCACAGGAGGGCAGCCAGGGCTGTGGCCAGGAAGAAGGCTCCGGACAAAAACAGGAGCACTTCTCTGGCACCCCACCCCACGCCAGGGCTTCTTGATGTTCCTTTTGGGAAGTGGTGACAGTAGGGTAAACGGGGTGGCCCACTGCTCCCTATTCTTCACCCCACAAGGGCCTGGACAGTGTGTCCGAGAGGGTGAGGTCTAGGGAAATGGCCCCAGGCTCCGTTTTGGGGGGTCCCAAGCAGCTTCTGGAGCCAGGTGGGTAGTAAAGGGCCGATGGTGGCAGCTGGAGCCAGAGGTTCACCCACAGGCCAGCCCAGGCGCTCCTTGCCAAATCCCCCCAAATGGATGCGAAGCGAGGACAGCCACCTGAGTTGGCCTCTGACCTCACAGGCATCCTGGGAGGGGTGGGGTGGGGATGCCTGAGCTTAAATGTGGCCCTCCTTGCTGGCGGCCTTTCTTCCCAGCTCCTGCCCAGCCCCTTCTCAGGGCCCCGGGGCGGCACACTAGGGCTGGAGGAGGGGCAGGCCGCGCTGGAGGCCCTCCTTCAGGAACTGCAGGTAGGTGGCCGTGGACGGGTCTTCAAAGGTGGACGCGAAGCTGAAGGCGTTGTTCTCCACGTCCTCTGGCCTCAAGGAGGTGATGTCCAAGAAGTGGTTGGCGTTGATGTGGTGGACCTGGGAGAAAGGCTGGGTGAGGTGCGGGGCCCCCCAGGCTCAGAGCCCCCGCTCCGTCTGCTCGGCCTCTCGTGGGAGAAGTGGCCACTCCCAGGCCTCACCTGCCCTCGCTGAGGCGGGCGGCAGCCAGAACCCTGTCGGAACCGACCCCGCGGCCCGCTGCCTCCCTCTCCTGCCTCTGCTCACACGGGGCCTCCGACCACAGAGCTCACACACCTCGTCCACTAGCAGGAAACCTAATGCCCCTCGATTCACCTGTCCCTCGCCCCACCCCTTCTCTGCTCCCGTGACCCTGAACTCTGCTCCCCTCTGCCAGGAAGGGCAGGAGACGCCGAGGCCCAGGCAGACCTCACTTCAAAGCCAGCTGCACTGCTTTCCTTTTTTATGTTTTAATTCTCACCCGAGGATATGGTTTTTTTTTTCCTTTTTCTTTTTCTTAGAGAGAGGGAGGGAGAGAGAAACATCGATGTGAGAGAGAAACATTGATCAGTTGCTTCCTATACCTGCCCATACGCACTCCGAGCAGGGACTGGACCCAAAACCCAGGCATGTGCCCTGGCCTGGAACTGAACCTGCAGCCTTTGGGTGTACGGGACGGTGCTCCAACCAGCTAAGCCACCCGGCCAGGGCCCAGCTACACTTCTTACTTGTGCAACTGTCTCCAAATCTCTGGACCTTCTGAGGCTCGCATTCCTTGATTGTAAAGTGGGTGTTTGTAAGCATCCAGCTCCCAGAGCTGCTGTGAGAATCCAACTACAGGATGCGCTTGGGTGCTTGTGACGGGCCCTCAGGGAGAGGTAGGGTGCTGATGTTTGGCTGGGCCTGGGGTGGGGTGGGGGTCCCTGGTCCTCTCTACCTGTCACAAGGCCTGGCCTGTCCCTCCTCCTTCCATCCCAGGGCTGACAGCAGTGGTCCAGGTGAGCCTTCCCTCCAGGCCATGGTCCTTTCCACGCTGCTGCTACACTGTGCCTACGGCTTCCCGGACCCCTAGGTGCTGTTGGGGTCCCCCTTCCCATAGGAGCGTCCTGACCCCTGCACAAGGCAGGCAGACTGGGCATCA